CTTGCTCCTTCCCACAACCAGTTATAGATCCATTACATGTCTTATAAAACTAGATCTGAGAACAATTCTCAAAAACAGTTCATTAGCCTTCTCAGAGCAGCAAGCTTGCTTTTCTGTGCATTTACAGCTGGCATCTTCCCTATTATTTCTTGCTTTGTTGTTATCTCAATTCTCACTTCCCAAGGGACATTTTTAAGACCTCTGGAAAGCTTTGCAGAGGTGAAAATCCATATATTCTTCAGATACAGGCATTTTTTTCCTTAAATTCCAAAGAGAACAATGGGGATTAAGGTTGGGGAAGGTGAATTAAAAAAAAACGCACTCACTCCAAGGAACAACCTTCAGAGTGGAGTATTTGTTATCAACAGACATTACCTTACTCATACGTAAAAGTCCTCAGCCAAATTTAAACCAAAACGACGTTTCTCTTTTCAGCTCTGTTGACGATTTATTCCGTCTCTATTCCTTAATTGTACAGAAATAATCTAAATGATAATGTTTAGTCCTTCTTTGTTCAATCACTTTGGTCGTACTTCTTTTTTGTGTGTTGTATTTTGGGTTTTTATGCATTATTAATATTATTATTATTATTCATTTTGGAGTATGGAGTCTCATCTCTGTTGGCCCAGGCTGGAGTGGCAGTGGCACGTCTTGGCTCCACTGGGTCGGGGGGGAAAAAAAAACCTGATCCCAGGGTTCAAGCAAATTCTCACTGCTCATTCTCCCAAGTAAGCTGAGATACAGACGTGCGGCACCCAACCCAGCTAATTTTTGTATTTTTAGTAGAGACAGGGTTTCACCATGTTAGTCAGGCTGGTCTCAAACTCCTGACCTCAAATAATCCACCCACCTCGGCCTCCCAAGCTGCTGGGATTACAGGCATGAGCCACCATGCCCGGCCGTACTTTTTTTTAGTGTAGTGCTTACACTAATTATCAATTATGTGTTTACCTGTCAGTGTCCCTCTGATGGCTTGTGTATCTCCCACCCTAACACAAGAGAAGTTCAGCAGAGTAAGCTGAATCAATAAACAGATGGTGTAGCCTAATTACATAATTTGCTAAAATAAACTCTTTTTTTTTTTTTTTGAGATGGAGTCTCGCTCTGTCACCCAGGCTGGAGAGCAGTAGCCGGATCTCGGCTCACTGCAAGCTCCGCCTCCCAGGTTCATGCCATTCTCCTGCCTCGGCCTCCTGAGTAGCTGGGACTACAGGAGCCCGCCGCCTCGCCCGGCTAGTTTTTTGTATTTTTAGTAGAGATGGGGTTTCACCGTGTTAGCCAGGATGGTCTCGATCTCCTGACCTCGTGATCCGCTGCCTTGGCCTCCCACAGTGCTGGGATTACAGGTGTGAGCCACGGTGCCTGGCCAATAAAGTCTATCTTTATAGAGGATAAAACCATCAGGTGCTATAGTTAGACTGACAACACTGTCATTGTCAGACATGATGAAAGGCTCCAGAGCCTCTCTATCTGCAAGCAAGGGAATCACATCACATGCTCAGAAGAGATGAAGGAGAAGCTAGCGGCTTGTTAATGAACTGTACTGTAACTACACAGACACGTCCCCTCCTGTTCTTTGAGGATAATTTAGCTCTAGGACATTCTCCAAAGCACCAATTTTCAGTCAACAATCTCATCAGGGAAGCAGGAGAAAAGTTACTATATAACTATAGTGTGATCTGTGATCAAAGTCTAATACCTGATTTCTAAAAAGATTAAAACCATGTATTTTTTTCCCTTGATGTGTAAGTGGAGAACCTATAAATCAATGGATTCCTTACTAAGCCATTCCCAAAAACTGCCAGGAGATGGCATCCACACTCTACTCATTTACTAAGAGTTTCTAGCTGGGCTCCGACGTCTTACAATCCTAGAATAAAATCTTCGGGAAAACAAGCTCATCGACGGGCTAAAATATGATAAGCCTACATTAAAAGCATCAGTCCCAGGCCTATTTACTTTGAGGTTCCACCCAGTGACTTACAACTTTTCTGTTTAGTTCCCCTGAGAAAATCCTCCTGATAATTTAGGAGCTGAAGGGATCATCTAGGTTGAGCCAAGACTGAAAGACGCTTTGTCTTGGCAAGCAACATGGCTGACAATGGGTTCCCAACGCATATTCAGGAGCTCTTCGCAAGGCAGAGTGGCCCGCTTGCACTTACTGCAGCTAATTTTTTTTTCTTTAATGAATAAAGCTTCAGGTTCCAGGAATAAAAGAAAAAGAAATCAGAGGAAACAGCCTTTGATGTTATGAGGTTAAGACACTACTCTTCCTTCTAGACTGTTTCATTCTGACTACAAGTGAATACATACACTGAAGACTTTAGGAGCTCAGATGATTAATAAAAAGAAAAATTTTTAACCTGTCTTCAATCAAGTCAAAATAAACAATACATATACTGTGTGATGCTTTGCGGTTTCCAGAGAATGGCCGCAATCATTTCCCATTTGCTCCCTATAATTACTTGAAGAGGAGCTCTAGAATTCCCACTGCAGGGACGTGGAGGCTGAGGCTCCTGGCCCTAAGTAATGAGTCAAGATGAGTACACAGAGTATCCACCTAGTTCTTTGGCCTAAATCAGACTAAAACTAATCTGGCCACACACAATTATGTTGAAGGAAAGATAGAGGATCATTTTTTTCCCCATCAAGTTGTCAATCTGTTGCAAGGTGGGAGAAAGGGCTCAAACTGTACAGCGTGCTCTATTGGGAGGAATCTATGACAGTTAGAGCCAGACTGCCTGGGTTACTGAGAAGATTCCCTTCTTTCCTTACCTATGCCAGTAAAATACACACACACTCTTCCTGAAAAATAACTTGTCTTTAAGTGTCGATAGCCAAGTGCTTAATAGCTATTAATCAATTTTCCACACGGCTTATTCACAATGACCTCCTGCTTCTTCCACATGGTTTATTCACAATGACCTCCTGCTTCTATTGTTTTTGCCTTCATTTAAATAAGTAAATGTTATTTCAAATATTAATTTCCTCAATCTAGTTTTCAAATCACAAATCAGTAATATCCTAAAAACATGCTATTTTGAAAAATAATGAGTACGTTATTAAGCCTTAGAAGTATTTCCATCGTGTAAAGCTGGAATGTTCGATACATCCAGAAGTTCGGATTAGTATAGCTACACCCATCACTGTAATTTAAGAAAGGACTAAGGGATCAAATGAGTTTTTCCAAGGAAAACAGACATAAAAAAAAAAATACTGACAGGCTAACAGACTAATAAAGAGCTGAATCTACTGAGATAGAATTGCCTACCTGATAATTGCTTTCAGTATGTGGGTAAAAACATACTTTATTGTTTGAGCTTGAAAATGTTCAGACCAAAAGAAGTCAGACTTAAAATAACCGGCCAAAGCCCTCTGCAGAAGTTGAAATTTGCAGTTTAAAAGCACGGGTAGATCATTTAAGAGGGCAAAGCTGCAGTGTTTTTAAATCCACGCCTGCTCAATAAAAAAAGTCTTAGACAAAGTCAAAGATGAGTCTCGTAATGCTGACATGGGAGAGTCATATTCTGAGAGATGGCTTTTTTCATCTACTTTCCCCCAACCATCTAAAAATGGATCAAGTCGGTGGATGAACAGTGGCATTCAAATATTCTAGCCAGAAATTATTAACCAAATGATGGCTACTAAGGGAGAAACGGAGCCAGAACTGACTTTCAAGGTTATTTATTCCAACTGCCATGGTACATATGAGGTTGCTAAGGCCCAAAAAGCAAAGGTGACACAGCACTGCACCTGGCACAGGTGCCAGAAATAGAACCCAAAGTCCTCGATTCTCAATCCAGAACTCTCTACTTCATATATGGCTCTCGAACCGTGAGGCTTGTTAAAAATGCAGGTTCCCATGTCTCACCCCACAAGGACGGAAGCATAATCTCCAAGGAGACATGTGTTTAAAACTAGCAATGTTGAAATGCTTTTAAAAATTGAGACCGCCTCTCTCTCAATTTCAAAGCAGAAAGTTTAACTGCATGAAATCAGTAAAGGCAAAGCTGTCAAGTTAGAGGAAGGAATTTACTGTCTCAGTAATTCTCTAAGATCTTGAAGAGCTGAGATTGGCTACTCTTCAAATCAGGAAAGACAACTTTGGCGGGCTTTTGGAAACATGGTAGTAAATGAGATTCAGGAGGGATGTGGCAGGTCTCATTCTGTACCACCAGGGAATTCATTCATCTCTAACCACCCAGGTATTCATTTACTTTGAAAGAAAATGATGTTTTTGTGCTAGATTTCTGCTATTTTTTCAGGGCCTGTTATCTCCCTCTACCCATCAGATAGGGACGGATTTTTGTCCTCTATTCAACCTCAAGCATAGACAAAGTGATTGCATCACCAGCTGAATCCTTAAGGACAACTGGCACTCATACCACACTTTGTATGGGAGCACATATGTGGGTCAGTGAGTATCAAGTGTCGAGATGACCTGGCAGCCAAGCAATAAACCTGCAGTGATGGGCACAATTACAGCTCAGCTCTCAAAACCAAAGATCACACAGTTTGAATAGAGGTATACAATTTCCAAAGCTATCAATTGTCCCAGAGTTGAATTTAGAGACGATAGATTAAATACAGACACCTGTATTTATACTGTGTCCCTTCCAAAAGTCCAGTGTGGGTTTTATAGTGAAGTGGCAAAAAGACTAAAGGACAATTTTTTTTAAAGATGGTGCCGTCTTGAAAAAGGTTATTAAAGGACTCAGGTGTGCTACGATTGTGAGATGCAAAAATCCCATTTTTAAGATAGTGACAAAAATGACATTTTGTACACAGACCCAAGTCTTGTTATGAGAGTAACTTTCGGATGAAAAATTCCGTAATTCCAGTCTAAAAAGAGGTGGTTTGCGGAGAAACTCGCCAGTAAAATCCTATGAAGTTTTCAGTCTTTCCACTAGAGGTCCTGCCTTCCTAATTTTTCTTTAGTTACTGGACTGGCTCCAATCCAAAAAGGCCTGAGGTTGAACATAAATTTTTAAAATTAATACCTGATTTTACTGGTATGCTTTCAAAGTGAGTCAGAACACAGTGCTTCTTGCTGGTGAATTTCAGATGCCCACATGCTGTTTGCAGCAATTCTGCTGTCACCATGGGATGTCACATCTGTCGTTGATAAGATTCACAGCTTTGAGGTGAACAAGGAAGACAGAAAAGAAGGATGCCAGAAGAGATGATGTGGATAACGTGATAGAAAGATTATTAATTTAGGATACAGGCAAGCTTGAATGTGGACCTTCATGATTTATTAGCTGTGTGACATTTGGATAAGTTACTTGACTTTCTGAAACTTCAGTTTCCTCATTAAAAAAAAAAATTGGGGGTAATATCAATCTTTCTCACAAGGTTCTTGTGACACTTGACTGAAATAGTTACATAAAGCTCCAAGTACAGTTTCTGGAACTTTGCAATACTGAGAAAATGTAATTGCATTTTTAAAATCATATTCTGTTCACACTTCTGTAAGTTAATGAATAACACTCTTCTTTATCCTGTTATTTGGGCATCTGACTTTTAAAAATAAATATTCCAATATTTTTTCTATCTATTCTACCACCTTCCTCCTTGTTTTTCTTTTAATTTTAGTTTTTAATAAGTAATGTAGTCATGTGGTTCAACATTCAACAGCACAGATGTGACTCTGGAGGGGAGGATCTGTGTTTGAGTCACCCCTTTATTACCAAGAGCTCCTCATGCAGTGCTTTGTAATGCAAGTAACTGTGTGTCAAATAATGTGGGTTGAGTGGGTGAAACCTCTTGACAACTCTGTCAGGTTTGTAAGGGACAGAAAACACTTGGAATGAAAAATTACCACAAAGCACCTGGTAGATAGGAGAGAGGGAAGGAGGGAAGGAAGAAGGGAAAGAAGAGAGAAAGAAAGGAAGGGGAAAAAACAGACACACGGATTTAGCTTTATATCATCTTTTACAGGACTCAATGATGACAGCTAGCATCACTGCAAGCAGTAAATCTGTCATCATTAAACAGGTACCACCAGAGCCCTGCACCATCATTCAGGTGACAAATACTTCAGATTCTGTCCCTAAAATGTTTGTGGTGTAGTGTGCTCCCTGCACACCCCATGCCACTGTGTGTCCCTGTAACAGTCCAGCCAGCGTCCTCACATCTCTCACAGGGACAACTGCAGTACCTCCGAACTACACTCTGCTCCCACCAGCGCATCCAGCACGGGCTGCCAGAAGGAGCTTCTTGAAAGACGGGCTCTAATGACATCACTCACCTGCTCAAAATCCTCGCACGGTGCCCCCATCTCCGTAGCCAAGGCCTCCCACACTGAGGCCAACCTCCATTTTCGTCCCTGTCTTAACCGCTCCCCTATGTTCTGAATTGTCTCCAACCCCCAAATGGATCCCCTACAATATGCTAGTCCCCCAAATATGTCCAGTGCTTTCCAGTCCCCAAGCCTCTACTGTTCTCTTCTGTGTGTCCTCCCTCCTCCTTGCCTGCTGAAATCCTGCCAATTCTTCCCACCTAAAAGCTTTTGCCTCCTCACCCTCCACAATCATACACATTATTTCCTGTCCCCCTTCGTACAGCATTTGTACTACAGCTATCTGAGCTCATTCTCATGTCTCACACAAGACCATGAGTTTCTTGAAGACAGGAATGGAGTCTTATTCACCTGCATCCCCGTGTGTTGTGTGTCTGAGGTTTAGGCCACTGAGATCTGGAAACAGTCTGACCTGCTACAGAATATGTCACGGTAACATGAACTGCTTATACAGGACTGGCAGACAGAAAAATGATGTCAGCACAATTAAAAGTTGTATTGCTTTCACATGCAGTTTTCCTAGAATGCTAATATTTTGTACAGTCAAGAACTAGCAGCTTTAAAAAATGTACTCAAACACAGAACACAGCAAGTCACAGAGTCCTCAGCTCAGACGGACATGTGGTTCTTGGTTCAGAAAGCATGTGGCGTTTCTTTTTGTATTGCTGCCTACTGTATCCTTGTCTCCAAAACTCAACAACTTAATCTCTTCCTTACAATCCATCAAGCCATCTTCAACCATTTTTAAAGGTAAAGTCCTTTTTAGAGTAGTATTCCTTTATCTTTTCGTGTTTCTTTTGCTTTTGTTAATGTCCTGCTTACAAAGTCAAATAGGTTTTGGGTGATATGCTCATAAGCCTGCTTTTCCTGTAAGTCATGCTTGTTTTCAGAATGCAATTGTGCAGAATATGAAGATTTTAAGGAATATATATATTATATGTTATATAAGTGCCTAGACCAGTGTTCCGTTGGAGATAGAAGGCCAACTGCTGGTCTTAATAAATGAATGATTACAAGGTCCCTCAATACAGTTCCCTTGAATGTCAATTGTTTGAGCCAGCTCTCACCTAACTGAATATCCGAGAGGCAGGAATGGAGCTTTTTTTTTTGCTAGAATCTGAACTGCCAATGGAAACGCTCTTGGGCAAGACAGGTGGACCTGACCTGGCACTGGAATATAAGTGACTCATAGTTTTCCTGGATAGCTGAGCATGTCTGAAGAATGCTAGGTCTCAGGGCTCCTGAAGAGGGAGAGGCCATCTGGGGGCAAAAGGGAAGAGAGAAGAAGAAAAGAGAGATAGGAATCCATGTTTACAGAGAATCTGCTAAGGCCCAGTTATATATTAAGATTTATATGCAAACATCTTTGAGACTTAATCCTCAATTGACATTTAGAAAGGCAGGCTCAGTGGTGAAGGGGTTTACCCACAGTGACTAACACAGGGTTGCCTGAATCCAAAACACTGGCTTTTCACGGCAATGGTGGTTTCCAAACCTAGCTCAAGGGCTGGACCTCCGGAGGAGCCCTGTAACAAGTGGAGGGTAGAGGTGGAAGACGAAGTGCAAGGAAAGAGTGTGAGAGTCAAGTGAGCAGAACCTGGGCTTCCTACCCCCGCTTCAACCACGTGGATCGGTTTTACACATTGGGCTTCCTCTTATGCTTCTATTTGAAGGAAGAGTCCTATAGTTTTAAAAGGGAGATGGGGAAAGGGTTAGAAAATCACTGCATCATATCAAGCTGCCTATTTCCCAATTCTGCCTGAGGCTGGCCCCTCAGCAGAAAAATAAATCAGTGCTTACAAAAGATCTTCTATGCAGACCACTGTTGGAGGGGTCCCCAAGTTCCTTCTCTAATCATTCCAAAGCTGTCTAAAAAGACTTTACTTTTCACCAACTATACTCACTTGTTCAACTATTTTTACCCATTTCCAGGTATTCCAGCTTGGGAGGCACCTGACATCCATCTGTAGAAGTGCAGGCAGCTTGGAGAGCAGGCCCTGCAGCTCCTGCTCTGGGGACGAGCTCTGAACCTGAAGCAGGACACCCAGGGCCTAGTCCTGGTGCTCCCTACAAGGGGGTAGGAGGATCAGCTCCTCTCCTTAGGCTTCTGTTTCCCTGGCTACCAAGTAAGCTGAGTGGAATACATGGTTTTTAACGTCCCTCTGACTTTCAGGGCTCTATACATAAATAAGTGTGTCTGTGTTTCTGTGGGGGAGACGAAGGGGAGGGAGGTGCGGGATTAAGAGTGAGTTTGTATAACAGCAAGTCAGGGCTAAGATGTATAGAAGTACACACCCCCCAGAAACACATAGAGGCATATGCAGAACCTTCAGACAGATTTCTCTAAAATTTATGAGTATCATGAAACAGACTGTAAAAAAGAAAACAATGACATTATGAATGCTGATTTAACTGAAGCACCACAGAGGAAGGCAGACCTTGAACTCCTCAGAGATAACAACTTTGGATAATACAAAAGGTAATTTCAGATCTTTCCAAAGGCCTTTCGAAGTCCAGGGATGAGGCTCTGTGTTGCAGGGAAAGGACTCACACATAAGTTTTGTTAAAATGATTAGAAAGAAAATAACATGCACTGGATGTACAGCCAGTCTCTGGGCAATGAATGATGTGTCACCTTCTTCTTCCGTCATTGATTCTCGCCTATAGACAGACGAGGAATGACTGCTGATGAAAGTGCCTGTGTAGAGGCCACTCAGACTGTGTCAAACATTCCTCCAGGGTCCCGCCCCGGGCTCTCTGCAAAGGCCCAACCTCCTCAGAGATGCTCTGCTGCCTCATTCAGCCAGCATTTGGAGGTTCAACTTCTGACTACCTATCTCGTAGCTGCACCCCGTTTTCCATCCCCACAAATCCTATTTTCTGACACAGCGGCTCGCTCTGTCACCCAGGCTGAAATGCAACGGTGTGATCATGTCTCACTGCAGCCTCAAACTCTTGGGCTCAAGCAATCCTCTCACCTCTGCCTTTTGAGTATCCAGGACTACAGGTGGTGCCACCACACCCAGCTTTTTTTAATTATTATTTTTTGTAGCGATGAGGTCTTGCTATGTTGCTCAGATTAGTTGCGAACTCCTGGCCTCAAGCCATCCTTCACACCCATCCCTCACAAATCCATTTTAAACAAATAGAACATTATGTACCCTTCAAATAACAATGAACACATCATTTATTTGACTAATGCTGCTGCCTTCCAGAACTTGCTAATGTCACTATCCACTGGCACCTGGGCTCTTAATAACATCACTCATTTACTGGGCACCTACTTTGGGCCAAAAGGTTTCTTGTGAATTGTTACAAATCTTTATAATGCCCTCTTATGATGAAGACCTTGAAGTTAAACAAATGCTCAAAGTTACATAGTCAGTGGATCTGATAGCTGAACCAAGCTGTCTGACTCCAAAGGTGGAGTGGACTCACAAACATCTCGTCCAGAGTAGTGTGAACTATCCACACCTGCTCCCGCCTCATTCCTCAACCTCATCTCACAACTTCACTATTGCCCTGGGAGACAGCAAAGCACCTGCCGCTTTCAAACACTACAGGATCCAGAAATGAAGGAAGCTGGGAGATCCAGGCACAAGCAAGGAGCACCACACCTAGAGGCAAGTTCTCAGTCCAGAATTTTCTGCCCCTTCCCTCTCTTCTTGCCTAATTCTATCAATTAGGTTCACTGTCACACTGAAAAAGAAACTGGAAATTGCTTCCCGGAAGTTAAGGCGCTAATTTACATTTACTCTTTGGTTTCGATGTCTGGAATTGGAGAACAATATTCTTAACACAGCAGAGAACACCTGCCCTGCCACAATGGGAGTTTGATTCAGAGTTGACTCAGTGATTTGGAGGTTTACAAAGTACCATGATGGGTCGTCGGGGTCCTGGAAGGTCCTGAGGACAGAAGTAGGAGACAGGGAGGCAGCAAGAGGCAGCACCCAGGAAACGCTTTGTCAATTTCAAAACTGTGCTCAATTTTTTTTCTCTTCCTCTTCCTTTCCCTCCCCTCCTATATAGTATCCTACTCCCCAAACCCAAGATAACAGGATGAGTACTGCATTCCAGTTGCAAACTGAGTTAAAATGGCACCTGTGAGGCCGAGGCGGGCAGATCACAAGGTCAGGAGATCGAGACCACAGTGAAACCCCATCTCTACTAAAAATACAAAAAAAAAAAAATGAGCCGGGCGCGGTGGCGGGTGCCTGTAGTCCCAGCTACTCGGGAAGCTGAGGCAGGAGAATGGCGTGAACCCAGGAGGCGGAGCTTGCAGTGAGCCAGGATCGCGCCACTGCACTCCAGCTTGGGCGATAGAGAGAGATTCCGTCTCAAAAAAAAAAAAAAAAAAATGGCACCTGTGAACCTAGGCATTATTTGAAATGTCTTTACAGGGAAATACATGATCTGATTCTAAACAAACAAGTGTATACCTAGCGCATTTCTAAATGTGAGGGAGGTATTATTCACAGCAAGTCCCTGAGAAGCTAATTCAATGCGCCACAAACAAGCATAAGAGTTCAA